CTTGAAATGTCTCTTAAACAAAGTGTGGTGCACCTGGAGGAAGACAAAAGCCAGGCTCGTAACAAAATAATCCCTCAGTCCTCGTGTTTGGTGTTAATTCAAAGAGCTGAGCTTTAAATGATCTCCCTTGCTTTGCTTTCAGGGCTAATTCTTCCCTTCAAGAGCTGTCAGCAATTTTATTCCAGCCTCTCGTTTCCAGGGATTTTAGATTTGGTCATAAAAGTGGGAAACTGAACATCTAAGGTTACAAAATTTGCTTAAAAAAAAAAGGAAAAAAAAAGCAAACTCAGGTATTTTAAGGTTATCAAAGCCTAAAAAAGAACCAGAGGTGCAGCTTAAAGCGAATATTTGTTTTCCCTAGACAAAATAGCTTGATTTAATTTCTTTTTCAATAAATAATTAATAAATCCCCAGGTGAAAACATCCAAACAGTTGGAAAATAGTGGAGAATATTCAAGACCAGGAGCTTGGAGCAACCTGGTCCCTGGTTGGTTTTTAAGATTCTTTTCCAACCCAAACAATTTTTGGTTCTATGATTCTGTGAACGTTTTATGGGTTAATTAAAAAAAAAAAAAAAAAAAAAATTAATTGCACATTTTTGGATGACATTCCTAACCCCATTTATTTATGCAATTTATTAACTCCACATCGATGCCTCCCCAAGAATCTTCTGGGCGTGAATTTTCAAATATTTCTGTTGGCCCAGCAAAGGGAATTTCTGCTGTCAAGGAACCTTATGTTCATATATTTTGGAATTACCCTCTCTGGTTAACTTTAACCACTGTAAAATTAGGAATTGTGGATTTAGTGCCTGGTACAGGTTGCTGTTGGGAGAAACTCAACCTTAATACATAGATATATTTATATTTATTAGAAATATCAATTTAAATGCTTCTCAAGGCTCAGAACCTCTCAGCACAGCTCACATGGCTCTGCCTGGTTTTTGTTTTCCCCTCAGCCCAAAAAAAAGGGGTGAGTTGAGGTCGGAATCTCCTTTTTCTGAGCGTGGAGCTCAAATCCTTTGACATTTTACACTCGGTTCTGGCACGAAGGAATCTCTCAACTTAAACCATGTGGTGGAAGCTTTTCCTCCCCTCCTGTTCCCCTTTGGTCTGGGAATTGGCCATGGTTAAAACTTCCAAGGGAACAGGTGGACGTGGCTCCCTCCTTGTGATATGAAAGAAGCAGAAAACTCGATTAAAGCAATTTATGGGCTCCAAATTCAACTCTTAACGGGGATTTGTATCCGTGACACAAAAGGTTTTGTTCTCCCGTTCGAGACTCGCTAAAATAGGAAGTTAAAATCACCCTCAATCCTTTTCTAGCCAAAAACCTCAACAAATAAACAGTGGTTTAGTGGCATGGCAACCTGCCCCTTGCAATCCAAGAACTGCTCTGAGATGTCTATTTTAGTTTTGTTGTTTTATTTTAAAAAAGATAAATGGGTTTGGATGAGTGGAGGAGCAACTTGTGGCTCCTACTGGTGGGAATTAAAGCAAAATTTTGGGATACTGCTTAGAATTTAGCAATGGGTAGGGGTTTGGTCTTATAAAAAGCACTTTGGGCTCTCTTCAGTGAGAAAGTTTCACCAGAAATGCTTCAGGATGCAAAACGGGCAGGAAGGTGTGAAATGGAATGTTCAGAATTGTTTTTGGTTTTCATGGAATCACAGAATCCCAGACTGGTTTGGGTTGGAAGGGATCTTAAAGATCATTTAATTCCTACCCCTGCCATGGCAGGGACACCTCCCACTGTCCCAGGAGCTCCCAATGTCCAGCCTGGCCTTGGGCACTGCCAGGGATCCAGGGGCAGCCCCAGCTGCTCTGGCAATTCCATCCCAGCCCCTGCCCACCCTGCCAGGGAACAATTCCTGCCCAAGATCCCAAGATCCAGCCCTGCCCTCTGCCACTGGCAGCCATTCCCTGGCTCCTGGCCCTGCAGCCCTTGGCAATTGTCTCTCTCCAGGCCCTGCAAGGCCACCCTGAGCTCAGCTCAAAGCTTCTCTTCTCCAAACTGAACAACTAAAGCTCTCCCATCCCCTCCCTCTCCCTTCCCTCCCTTGTTTTGGAGGCCTCTGCTCTGAAACTGAATAAACAAAAATAATAACAAAAATAAATGAAATATCCCAGCTCACACAGGAGATCAACCCTAATCCAATCAGACTTTGATCACCGAGGAGAAAATTATGGTCCTGGAACTTTTTCCCACCCCATTCCTTTTTTCCTGCTATGATAATGTAGATGAGCCCTGAAAGTTAAAAGGTGATGGCAACAGACAAATGAGAGAGGCTTCAATTTGGGGTTTATTTTCCTGATATCCACTGCAAACCTCATCAATTCCATCCTGAACAGATAACACACGTTTGGGAGGGAAAGTGGAACCAGGAGGAGAGGAGAGGAGAATGGATGAGGAAACATCCATGGCTGAGCCCATTAAATCCCATTAAATCCTGTTTGAAACAGCAAAGCCCAGTCACCTCTTACAACTATTCCTGGAGGGAGCAGCTGCATCCAGGGCCCAGCATGAAAAAATCCCATCGGGAATTCCACAGGGAAGCAGGGAAGAGGGGTCTTGGGTGTTAAACCTGATACTCTGCTAAGCAGAAACTGCTCCCAAGAAGCTGAGGAATGTGAGGCTGCCACCGATACCTCCACCCACATCTGCTGCTGGGCAACCACAATAAAATTTGGGGTTTTTTTTTATAGGAATGGAGCTGTGAGCAGGAGAAACCCAGTGTGGTTAGCTCTGCAAATCAGGGAGAGGAGTGAGGGCAATGTGAGGGGTTGGATCCTTCACCTGAGCTGACCTGGAATTGCTCCAGCCATGAGAAGGAGCTGGGTGTTGCTTCCAGTTTCTTTCTGTCCAGCACATGATAATTTGTTGATTTTTAGTAGTAAAATCAGTTTAGTACGGTCAGATTGGGATTCTGGGGAGAAAAATCTTCCCTGTGAGGAAGGCACAGGTTGCCCACAGAATTTTGTGGCTGCCCCATTCCTGGAAGCATCCAAGATCACCTTGGACTGGGCTTGGAGAAACCTGGGATAGTAGAAGGTGTCCCTGCCCATGGTTGGGGTTGGAACTAAGTGATCTTTAGGGTTCTTTCAAAACCAAACCGTTCCCTGATTCTATGATTCTCAAAAAATACCCCGAACCCAGCAGATTTGCAGTAATTCCACTAAACCACAGACCTTCCAAGGAATAAAGGAATAAAGGAAAGTTCCAAGTGCTGCCTGAGGTGAGCAATAACATTTCCTGCCTTCAGGAAAGAGCAACCTGCTCTCAGAAGTAAATCCCAAAATAAGAACTTATCCCGATTCCCTGTAACTATTCCTCTCCAAAATCCCACCAGAGAACTTCGACTGAGCCCATTTCATTCCGGTTGGAAGAAGAGAAGGAAACTCTGTTAGGAACAGCACCTGCTAAAACCAGCACTGTCCCACTTTTTTGGGTCCATCTCCCCATGAATCTGCATTTTGATAGGAACAGCTCAGTGACCTGACCCACAGCCCAAATTTCAGCAGCAATTTTAGCAGGGACAGACTCAACTCTAGGGGATGCCAGATAAGATTCCAAGCTGGATGACTCGGTTTCGTCGGAGCCTGGGAGGAAATCAGACTCCTGAGTGACCCTTTTGCAGGTTGCATTCCAACAAACCCCCCCTGGAAAACCACCAGCCACAGAAATACCTCCAAAGCATCCTGTCCTGAACAAGTCTCAGCCTTCAGAGGTCATTTTGGGAGCATCAGGCCCTTTGCAAAGCTTTTTTTGCTGCTGCCTTCCTGGGAGAGATCAAAGCAAGGCTTTGACAGTATTTCCCTCTCTCCCCAGCACACTCATGGACAAATATCCATTGGGAAATACACCTGGAACAAGGCCTGGCTTTGCAGGACAACAACGGCTCTGCAGCTGTTACAAGGCAAACAAAACCCGTGAGCTGTGCTGGGAAGACACAGAACGGGCCCCTTAAAACCCGCCAGGCTTCCCAAAATCCAAATCTCCATTGGGAAACACCACTTTTCACTCTTTAAATGCTCTCACATATCAAAATTATCCAAGGAAAGCTGAGAAGAGATTGAAGCCCAGCAGGGCCGTGAGCCCCTGTAGGCGGTGGGGATGGAGATGAGCGAGCAGAGGGAGGACACGAAGGGACTCTTTAAAACCTGCCAGGCTTCCCAAATTCCCAAATTCCAACATCCAGGCTTCCCAAAATCCAAACACCCATTGGAAAGCCCCTCTTTTCACTCTTTAAATGCTCTCATGTGTCAAAGATCTCCAAGGAATGCCAAAAAGAAATGGATTCAGAGCAGGGCTGCAAACCCCCGTAGGCCGCAGGGTGGAGGTGGGTGAGTGGGGAAGGACCAGAAGGGGCTCCTTAAAACCTGCCAGGCTTCCCAAAATCCAAACCCCATTGGAAAGCCCCTCTTTTCATTCCTTAAATTATCTAATGTGTCAAAGATCCAACCATCTCCAAGGAAAGCTGCTAACAGATGGAAGCCCAGCAGGGCCATGAGCCCCCGTAGGCCGCGGGGATGGAGATGAGCGAGCAGAGCGAGGACACGAAGGGACTCTTTAAAACCTGCCAGGCTTCCCAAATTCCCAAATTCCAACATCCAGGCTTCCCAAAATCCAAACACCCATTGGGAAAAAACACTTTTCACTCCTTAAAGGCTCTCACATATCAAAGATATCCAAGGAAAGCTGCTAAGAGACAGAAGCCCAGCACGGCTGTGAGCCCCTGTAGGCCATGGGGAAGGAGGTGAGCGAGCGGAGGGAGGATTAGAATGGACCTCCCAAATGCCCAAATTCAAACATCCAGGCTTCCCAAAATCCAAACACCCATTGGAAAGCCCCTCTTTTCACTCCTTAAAGTCTCTCATGTGTCAAAGATCCTAAGATCTCCATGGAGACCCCGAAGAGATGGACACCCAGCAGGGCCATGATCCCCCGTAGGCCGCGGGGATGGAGGTGGGCGAGCAGGGGGGAGGATTTTGGGTACTTACCCTGAATCTGACTCTGAGGCTGAGGGTTAAAAGCTGTGCTGTGGTTCAAGGAGGCTCGAGGGTTGGGTGTGGGGGCTGGGTGGTGTGGGCTGACCCTCATGGCTGTGCGACGCAACTGCTCCAACTCGCTCAGGCGCTCAGAAAAGGACAAGCTGCCGGGCTTTGTCTGCTCATCTATTTTCTGCCGATGTCCTAGTGTGGGAGGGGGGGGGAAAAAGATCAGAAAAGCTCACTTGGTACATGAGGATGGTCGGCTTTGGTTTATTTTTAGTTTTTTTTGCCTTGTTTTTGCAACCCCTGATCTGCAGGTGAAGGTTCTGATCTGGGACTGTCTGAAATGAAATTGAAATCAGCTCTCATGCAATCTTATGGTGGGGCAGCCTGAGATGTGGCCTAGGCTGGAGAACCAGAGACACTGAAAATTTCAGGGCCTTTCCCATGGTTTCTAAAAGGAGGAAACGGCCCCGGTGCTAAACCTGCCCTGGGATAACTCTTCAGCGATTCGATCCCAGATTGTCACCAGACACCACAATCAGACAAGTGTTATGGGGCTAGAAAACAACAAACCAAATCAAATCCTGGCTTTGGATACTTTTGCAATGGTTTTATGGTCAGGAATGGGAAATAAACCACGGCAGAAAGGAAGCTGGGATAATGAGGTTTCTCTTGGTGGCTCTGGGAGCTCCAGGAATGTGAGGTCCTGTCAGACACTCAGCTCTAAGAGAGGAAATGCTGAATTTAGAGCGTCAGCCACAGCATGGGGACTTGGGCACAGCCACATGGGAATTACAGGGTCCAGCACTTCCCAAAGCAGCCCTTGGAGAACAGTCCCTATGAAGTTCCAGGGCTCAGAGGAGACAGGGAAGGTCCCAGAGAGCCAGGACAGCATTGGGACACATCCAGATTCAACTGGAAGGACTAAGGTGACACATTTCTACTTTCTGCTGTCCCAGGTGCTCCCAATGTCCAGCCTGGCCTTGGGCGCTGCCAGGGATCCAGGGGCAGCCCCAGCTGCTCTGGCAATTCCATCCCAGCCCCTGCCCACCCTGCCAGGGAACAATTCCTGCCCAAGATCCCAAGATCCAGCCCTGCCCTCTGCCACTGGCAGCCATTCCCTGGCTCCTGGCCCTGCAGCCCTTGGCAATTGTCTCTCTCCAGCTTTCCTGGGGCTCCTTCAGGCCCTGCAAGGCCACCCTGAGCTCAGCCCAAAGCTTCTCCTGGCCAGGCTGAACAATGGCAGCTGGACCAGCCTTTTCACAGGTCCCAGCCCCGAGGCTGCCAGAGCTCCTGGATCATTTGGACAGCGCTGCCAGGGGTGGGGTTGTTGGGGGGTCTGAGCAGGGCCAGGGGTGGGACTGGACGATCCCTGTGGGTCCCTTCCAGCTCAGGATACTCCATGATTCTATTCTATGATTCCATGATTTCCCCATATTGGATTTGTCTCAGGGCATCAGCTGCCCCATGGATCTTTGTGCCTTATCCTTTGTCCCTCTTTCCATCGGACACTGTTGTCCTGCCAGGAATGCACAGCTCAAATCTCCAGCCCAGAGCTCAAACATCTGCATTTTTCAACTTATTCACTTGAAGGAACAGGGGAACTTGTGACAAGAAAAGAGGGAATGGCCTTAAGGTAAAGGAAAGCAGGACTAGATGGGATCTTGGGCAGGAATTGTTCCCTGGCAGGGTGGGCAGGGGCTGGGATGGAATTGCCAGAGCAGCTGGGGCTGCCCCTGGATCCCTGGCAGTGCCCAAGGCCAGGCTGGACATTGGGAGCTCCTGGGACAGTGGGAGGTGTCCCTGCCATGGCAGGGCTGGGAATGGGATGAAGTTTAAGGTCTTTTCCAACCCAAACCATTCTGTGATTATATAAAAAAATGAGACATTATTTTATTTTCTTTTTTATCCACTGTTCCTCATTCCACACTCCTCCCCTCAGCATTTAATCCATAAAGACTCAAAAAAATCCCCTCTCAATGTTGAATATCACTGAATAAGCACCAAAATGTTCTCTGCAGAGCCCTGTAGGCCCCTTCCTCTACAGAGAACTCTTTCAAGCCACCCTGACAGCTCAGTCAAGACACAGGCCCATTTTATGCACTAAAAGGAAAATGTACATTTAAAAGCAGTTCCCAGTAGCTGCATTTCTGAAATTAAATTTTATAACTCGTCTTATGGTTCCAAATCTCAGTGGCTCGGCATTTCTTCCCGTTGCCAGGCCCTTTGGCACAGCTTGAACTGTCTCAGATTCCACACTGTGCTGTAAATTATCCCAAGGGGAGGGGGAGGAATTAAAATATAAAAAGACATATTATATAGCAGTGGTTTCATCATTAAAGAGACACATTAGGGCTTTAAAAAAAAAAAAAAAGAAATAAAAAAGGAGGGGAGAAGCAAAGATAGATGAAAAGGACTTTTATCTGACATTCTGGTTGGTCGGGAGCAAATGCTGCATTTGTCAGCTGAGAAAAGCTGGAAGTTCCTCAAGCCTTGGGCTCCTGACCCTGGATGTGAAGGCCAACATGTGGAGTCACAGAAGATGTGTAAAATACCTCATCCACGGGGATTATTTTAAGCTCCTGCAGGCTCAACCCAGGGCTGGCAGAGCCAAGAGTCACATCCTTCCAACTCCAGCCCCACGCTGGCCTTGATTCCTGATTTCAGGTTCTCCTGGGATGTCACCTGCTCTTAAAGGAGTGCAGGAAGGCCAAGTCTGACCCTCTGTGACCTCCCCTTCCCCTCCCAGCTCTCCTGAACCCTGCAGAGCCAGGCTGTTCTCGGGCTGGGGAGATGATCTCTGCCTGACTCACTGAATCCCTGCATCCCTGAGGTTGGAAAAGCTCTCCCAGCCCACGGAATCCCAGCTGTGCTCAGTCCACACCTTCTCCCCAGCCTGGAGATCCAACTGCCACCAGGGATGGGGACTCCAAACCTCCCTGGGAAGCCCATCTGAATGTTTAACAACCCTTTCTGGGAAAAAAATTCCTCCTTGTGTCCAAAATTCCTCCTCATTTCCCAGATATCTTCATATCCTGAATCCACCAAGCAAAACTTGGACCCTCCAGCCCTTCCTGTGCCTCTCCAGAGCGTCCAGCTGAATTTTGGGGGTGTTTCAGCCTCCTGCATGGAGCCTTTTCCACAGCTTGGGATTCCCAGGAGTGCAGGGACACAGCCAAAATCTGTCTCATCCCTTGAATGTGTGGACATTCCATTTGTGCCAAAGCCAGGGAGAAAGAGCAGCACCAACAGGTTCTCCCTCAGGAGAACTCTGCTGATTTTGTACCTACATTTTAATTTTGAGTGGGAATCGCTCAGAACCGAGGCCAGGCAATTGTCACCTCGAGCTGCAGCTCCAAAAGTGCTTCTTTACCCTCCCTGTCCCCAGCCAGAAAATCTATTTATTATTTCTCCTCCTCTGACTGCACAGAACCTGTTTGGCACCAAAGCTGTGTCAGAAAAACCTAACAAATATAAATATTTCTCCAAAGCCACTCTCAAAGCACAGGCAGGCCTTTGTGAGAGCAACTTGTATTTTGGTGTTTATTAGCTCTGCTTTGAAGTTCCCCTCTAAAAACCTTGCAAAGTATCCTCAGCTCACCCCTGGGAGAGCCAGGGGTGTTATTAACCCTTTTTCCAGGTGGAAAATGGAATGGCAGAGGAATGAGGTGCCCTGCCCAGGGCCAGGAGGTGACCCTGTGACAGCCACTCTGCTCCCAGAGCCCTGAGGTGAGCACAGACCTCCTTTTTCCAGGATGAAAAAGAGGAGCAGGAAGGTGTTTGGAAGCTGCTTTGGCTCTGCTGAACCACTTTGGCCACAAATCTTGCTGAAAATCACTCAAATTTCCAGCTGTTGAAGGGAGACCTTGGCTCAGAGCTCACCCGAGGTGGAACTGCTGCCTTGTTCCCTTCCCCGTGTCCCCAGAGTTGTTGGTTTTTGGTTTTTTTACAAGGATAAATTAGCAGAGAAAAGAAAAAAGCACCAATTTTTCCCCTCAGGTTGTGGGGTTGGTGTTTGGGATGCTGGAATAAACAGGAAAAAGCAGCTTGGCTAAACCACAGGGTTTGGGGGCTTTTTAGCTACTTTATTTTATTTTATTTTATTTTATTTTATTTTATTTTATTTTATTTTATTTTATTTTATTTTATTTT